CTTTATTTTCATGTTTATTTCCATCCTTTCCTCTCACACTTTCAATCCATTCATTTTTAGTGACTCTGTATGAATCACACTCAAGGAGTTAAGTATGATGAAGGTGTGAAGGGCCTGTCCTATTTCTACTGAAAACATAGCACATAAGTCAAAATGTCTGACTTGATACAACGCTCTGACTACTTCAGAAAGAAATCATTGCAGCAATAATACATTAGATTTTTTGCTTCATATTTCTATATCTTATCTATCTCCAGTATAAGCACTGCATAGGGGTCTTTGTTGCTCACAGCTTTAGTCCCTCTACTCAATCATTTACACACAAAAATATGCTGCAGGGCAGATGTTTATTTGTATTTACTTATCTATTCATGTTTTTATCTAATCATTTATGTATTCAATCATTTGATAATTGATTTACTATTTATTTGTTTAATGTTTATTATTTGTTTATATGTTTGTTTATTTATGTATCTATTAATTTATTTAGTTATTTTATCTATTCATTGACCAATCTGATCATTTATTAGTTTGTCCATTTAATTATTCATTTATTCATCTATCCACATTATTCTATCTATCTATTGATTTATGTACTTATTCATTCATTCATTCATTTATTGATGTGAACATAAAAGAGCCTTTGCATCACTTCAAAGTTTAAAAAAACAACAAGACATTTGCATTACCTCAAAGTTTGTTGTTGTTGTTGTTTTTTGGGGTGGAGGAGGCAGTAGTTTATGTCATTTGTCTTTTAAAATTCTGGCCTTTTTGTAATGATACTTTGATCATGAAACTTCTCTTCCACACAAACTTTTTATATGGTGAATTGAGTTGTCAATTACTTCCAGCTGCATTTGATAATAAATGACAAGATTTGCCAGTGAAAGTATAAAATGTAGGCTGTCCACATTCATGAACTCAATTTATTGAAATAACATACACAAGAAAGTGTGTGCAAGTTTGAATCAGAACATAATTTCTAAATGACTCTAAAATGTCCACAAAATTGTTGAATTGTTGTACGATATTCCCAATTTCAAATGAGAATTCCCATGCAATCATAATTCTACGTAGGTACTGCTATAAAGGAAATTACAAATGACCACTGTAATTGAACACATCGCTATCATATCAAGATGATGTCACGCAATTGATGTCCAATTGAGGAGAATGGCAGGCAGATGCTGATAGCAAGGTAGCTACGTAAGAAGTTGAAATCACGCTATCTTGAACAAATTTACAGCATCCTCACAACTCATTTGATTGCACAAAGATAAGGCATAATTTGGCAAGAAGTGCAATGTCGATAAAGTGTTAACACATGCGTGCATATAGCATGTAACCAGAAAATTCTTGAAATTCAGTATTGAACTGATGCACATCTAAATGGACTAATGGGCATCTAAGGGGGGCAATGGATACATATCTTTCATTTTCGATTGATGACGAGTCACTTGGATTGAAATGGAAATCTATGCATTTGAATCTGTAGCTGTTTTGAAAGATATCATTATTTTCATCCAATAAAGTGTGCTAGCATTGATTTATGTATCTCAGGAACTCTAAATATTTCCACTCAAAACATACTAATATCTATCTACTTGCAATAAATAGCAATAGTGTAATTTTCTAAACAGAATGTATAAATTCATATTTCTTGTGGAGAGAAATTTGCAATAAATACAGTAAAAAATTTGTACACAAACATACACTTCTAATAATACATCTACCATTCTTTAATTTGCAATACATGTTGCATCATTTTAAAACACAATTCCACTTTCTAAATAGAATATCAATTTCCACATCTGCCAAAAAGATATATTTGTAATATATAGTATAATTTTACAAGATACCACTACTTTCTAAATAATATTAATTATTTATATCTGCATTTCTCATCAAGGTACACATGAAGTTACAATTATGTTAACAACATATGAATTCTATTTTATAAATAGAATATTTATCCATGTTTCTCACGATACATTTGCAATAAATACATGATATGCCTACACATATACATGCAGTAAATTTTTAAAACATAGTACCAGTTTCTAAACAAATACGGTACCTACATGTATATCCACATTTATTATCAAGATCAATTTTCAATATATTGTATTATTTTGGATATCTTATCAGATGCTTTTGAAAATCATAATCCAAGAGCCTAAATGAGCACACGGGCCAACAAACTCTACCATCACCTACAATATACATCAATGTGTAATTGTAAGTACCTGTGTCACTGTAACGCTTGTGTGTCACTCTTTCCTGTTAGCTTACACTGACTGGTATGGACAAGTAGACAACTGGACGGCATAGTTAATCAATTAAAACAAGGGATGAGCAGTAATTAGTTTTATAACATGTGATGTTGAAAGAGCATGTGCAATGATGGATGCCATTTCCACGAAGTGTAATTGAACTAACGACTTACTGAATGTTATGATACATGCTCTTCTCAAATCAACAGGTACAGGGTAATACACTAGAATCATTCACTGATATGATTTTATTATTTCTTTTCAAAGGTCAGAAGTTGTAAAGATGTAGCTTGGGTTGTTATCCTTAAAATGTTTTGCTCACTTCTTCAAGAAGATTAAATTGTCAGAGTCTGGCACATGAAGACTCTTCTCATCTGTTCTATTTTGATAGAAAGGGGGTAGAATCTACATTATCAAATTAAAATTAAAGACAATTTCTGTGAAAGGAATGGACATATTCTACGATTAAATGCTTTAATAATCAGCAACTTATGAATTCATGCATCATGGGTATTTCGTTGAAGTACCGGTATCAAAAAGGTTAGATTGCATATTGAATTTCATTAATCACCCTCTTGGGTTTCCTCCTCGATCATTCATAATAAATCTATAATTATGATAGCTCCCTCTATGACATAAATATCCCATCACAGGCAATAAGTCATGAGCCCTTCCAACGACACATAGAAAAATGCTGATTGGTGACTAAGTAGAGGAAGGAAATCGAAGGAGGGAGTCCTTCCAATCCAATCGTCATTTCCACTTTTAAAAAATGATGATTACTAACATTTCTGATGAACAATTCTGATGAACATCTCAAAAAAGGAAGTGGATTCATGAAGAATCCTTCCACACTTGAGAATTGCATAATTTTCTATAAAATGATTGATAGATCTACAAGGAAAATTGTTGCTTTTTACAGTACAGTCCAATAGCCAGAGAATAATCAATGTGTGGAATGGTCTTCCAGGCGATGTTGTGGAGAGTACCACTATCAATCAATTCAAATCTGGATTTGAGAAATGGTGGAAAGATGCCCCAGATAAATATGATGACAACCCCAAACAAAGGAAACCATGGATAGGAACAACAGTCTAAAGACTGAATAATCCTGGATCAAGTGAGTTACAAGTGAGTTAATACCCTAGTTAAGATCTGTACCCAGATGCATAAACAAAAATTGGTCATTTTCAGCAAGCATTATGACTTTTCCTGTTTGTCAATGATTTACATGAATAGATATTGTAAAGTTTATGGTACTATGCTAAATGATTTGTCGACTGCTTTTCTATTAAAGCTGGTAACTGAAGAGGAGCAATCACCATTATTATTTAAATTAAAAGGTTTTTCAAGTTTATGCTCAAGTTAACTATAATGTCTACCTGTTCAGTTACTTTTAGTTTAATACACATATGAGATACAATGTATTTTAATGTCTTAATTGGACCGTCATATCTCTATTTCCCTACATGAGGTTTCTGCACCGTAATACATTACAAAATTACTCAGTGTATATCATTGCAACTCTGTTGACCAAGACTTCATGACTACAGATAAAAGGTTATTTTAAGCTGGCTACATTTGCCTTTAATACATGGTTACACTATCTGCCAAACCAAGATTTTTTAGCAATCAATGATTAAATCTGACCAAAGGTCAAATAGCGACCTATATACATCAAACAAACCTAGGCGCAGTATACATGTACATACCCTGGTAAATACCATTGATATAAGGATCTATTTACATTGTACTTGCAGAGGAAGAAGACAACTACATCATAGCTATGTATTTTCTCCTGTATGTGTAGTAGGAATACATGTAGCTGACCCAGCCACATTTTTTTTTGGAGGAGGGGTGGGGGGACAGGTAAATTTCTTTTTAACAGAAACTGTGTCAAAATCAAAGTGGTTTACGAAAAGTGCCTCATAAAGTAACGCTTCTGAAACATCGGTATTATAAGACTAAAATGTATCTTCTTGATTGTTAATCATTATATTGATATAGAGTACATGTATGTAAGACATAACTTTGAGGAATGGAAATATAATTTTATTAAAAACTGTTTGAGGTAAGGTCCAGTATATACGATTTCTTTCTCCTACAGGTCAGCAATAATTGATCACTTATATTATCCTAGGCTCAATATCTTTCCTTTACATCGATGTGAAAAATCGTTACTTTAATCATTCAGAGAACAAAAACAAAACAAAAACAAAAACAAAAACATATTGAAGTAGAGAAATAAATACTGGGCACTCTCACATTGGTATACTGCCATCTAGAGGATATTTCAGTACAGTGCTGAAGTCTTGGGAATTGCATGCAGTTCACTCATAAAACAATATTAACATTTGATACTTTCTGACAGAGGGCAGCAACATGAGTCCTTCAGTATACACAAATTAAGCACAATTTCAATGATGTAACTAAGAAGAGAAAATAATAATACAGAGCAATATTACAGCAATATGAGGAAAAGAATGAGGCATTTTATTCAATCGCCTCATAAAAAATCATATAAGTACAGTCTGTATTGCTCTATGTGGATACCTTGAGTGAATGAATGTTTTGATGTTCCTATGTCAATTTTTTTTGTTTTTGTTTGTTTGGGGGTGAAAAACTAAATATACCAGATTATACACCATCAAAAAACAAGGCAATACAGTTTTAGGGAAGTACAGTGAATGTTAGCTAGAGTTTGAATGGTTATGCAGAGTAATGTACCTGTTAAATGCAGGCCGAGGATGGAATGAGGATGCTAACCTGAAAGACATAGAGAGAAAACAAGAAATTGATGAATATATTAAGATAATGAATAAGTGAGCATGAAAGTATATAAGATATTATACAACACCTACGTAGATCCTTGTCATTTGATTGGACGATTGTTGGTCACATGATATTCAATAGATGGTATATTGCACGGTCGTGCATTTTTGGTTATATGCGCCGTGCATTTTTGGTTATATGCAGACTGCGTACCTCTCTGCTGCATGTGCGCGTATCCCTGCGTGTATCTGACGCGAAGGCAATCTGCATGTAATCGAGAAGGCTTGACTCGAACTTTAATTTATCTTTATAAGGAGTAAAGCATAATTTGTTGATTAACGTTCTATTAGGTCTTCTTCGATGTTGTATAAAACAAATAATGAATGTTTTTCATTCGTTTAATAGTGCAAATATGTTCATTCGTTGAAAGATTAACGTTAATTCTATTCAACTCGGCTGACGCCTCGTTGAATAGAATGTTAATCTTTCAACTCATGAACATATTCGCACTATTGAACTCATAACCATTCATTATTTGTATAATAGTTAATACAGGGTTTCATAACATTCCATGTATATAATATGTAATCCCTTCACCCATAGCTTCAGCAGTAAATGAATGACGAAATATGATACAGAATTTAATTTGGTTTACAAGCTTAGAAACATGAAATATTGTTACTCATAATAATATTTAGCATCCACATTCTCTCAAGCTATGAAGGTTGCAAGACAAGCTGCTTCTAATATTGCCTTAGAATCAGGAGTTACTCTTGTTACAATTTTAGTGATACTACTCCAAAAGCTTTTGAAGAATATTTTTTTCTCTCATTAGACAAACACAATCATGGATCAAACCTAGTTTAAATGACAGGATTAGAGAGAGGGAGGGAGGGTTAGAGAGAAGACTGAAGTTAAGTCAAAAGTCGAATTGAAATGGGCTCTTTTATATGGTGAAATTGTAGGTCATTCTTGGATGTTAATGATTGGATGTGATTGTTAAATTACATGTACATGTATCTTGAAAAAATCAAATTACAAATACTTGATCACTCTTACATGTACACTGTACAATATCATCCCGCATAACCTCAGACATGGTAGATTTTAAATCCAGATGTCTTGTTTTCATGGTAGTACAGATTATCAAGGAAAATTTCTCAGTGGATTTTTTTACATTTAATGAACGCAAAGTTTTGTAGCAAGGTAAAAAGTATATTTAAAAAGACCTTGAATCAAGTATAGTGAGCAAAAAGGATTCAGGGGAAAAAATGGCATCTAACAACATCCCCCCCCCCTTTTGTTTAAGAAAATTGGGCAAAAATAGAAAAAAAATAGGAAAGATGAAAAACAAATATTCTTTAGCTTGTAAACAGAGCCGGAAAGTGGGAGGGTATACAAACTTACGAAGGGAATCCCACGGAATGGGTGGGCTCTCGAGAGCTCCAAACCCTGACATACCCTCCGGAAGGAGCTTAACTTATAACCCATTTTAAAGGGATTTTACCATGCATCCAACGGAGCGGCCGAAAATCCTTACGGTCGATTACCCCCTCTTTTACTCTAGATCTATATAGAGTAAAGGAGGGGGTAATCGACTGGCGACAGTTTTCGACCGGTACGTTGGGTGCATGGTAAAATCCCTTCAAAATACATTGCATAATAGCATATCACATATCCCATATCCCACACATACCCTAACATGCCATAGTCACTGAAGAACCACATTTGCAATGGAAAATATATCCTTAAATATCACATTTTAGCGATGTAATCAGCAACCGCTACCTGAATCTGAAAAATCAAGTATCTTACGCGTTGTCTGTAAGGAATATGGGTACCATAAAATGAGCTTTATTTCAAGTATTTTTCAGATTTAGAGCCGATTTTGTGTGAGTAGCAAGTTCAAAAGTATCTCATCGCATGTATTAAATCAATGCAGCCGGGCACCACAGCGCACACACGATATCTCTGTCTAATTCAGATTCCAATTTCCGATCAGGCTCCCTAGAGCTCGCCATGGCGAAAACTATCTCTGCGGTGTGGGATACCGGCGTGGGATACCTGCTCCGCCCGCTAGTGCTATAGATCAGCAGGGAAACGCATGGCGCATTCCTATTGACTTTGTACACGCGACCGAAAAATGGATCGCTATGCCGATAACTGTCTCTCAAACAGTGAAACTTGAAATGAACATTGTCATGGCAATAATGATTTTTTTTTCTGGGATTCTTTTTTTTTTTAAATAATAATAATATTTGCTTCATGAAATGAACAAGAAATGATAATAAATAGGAAGTAAAGAGTCCAAAAAATAGAATTTTGTCTTAAGTGGCCAAAAAACTCCTCCTTTTGGCTTTAGCCTAGGCTTTACTCTAGATTCTAGTCTATGCATGTGACGGAATGAAGCACACCAGGCCAAGTGGCGGTATAACAAGAGCTGTACTACTCTTAGCCCCAATCACTTATTACAATATATGGCCATATTTAACCATAATAATTACAACAGATAAGTAGATCTAATGACTTTCGAAAGTCCGTTCGCTATCACTACTACTGCTGCTACGACACACCCGGCACCAGGCCCAGCACCATGCGCATGCAGAGCTTAGATTAGAGTCCCAGGGCAGCGGAGCGGGCCAGGTAATCTCTACCTGATCACACCGAGGGTTCCCCCGTACACAACGGCCTCGATGAACTCAACGGCTAAGGCCAAGGCTAAACCGGCTCTTTTCAATCATTCATCATCATCAGAAATCGTCTTAATTATCGTGAGAATGAGCTTCTTTATAGAATAAATATTCTCACCTTATGGCTGAACGTAAAGCCACTTCTGGGGGACATCTAAAAGCAGACATTTTCAGGAATCTTTGGGCAAGTAACGAGACTCGGTGAGAGTGAAGTGCAACAGTCGGATCCGTGTCACGTGACATATACAAAGACAACATTTTGATCATGTGACCAATGATAGACTTTATGGCCCGAATTCACAAAGCAAGGTTTGAGCTCAAACCTCCTTTTGTTTCGCCAAACCTCATTTTGTTCTTTACAAACCAGGTTTGTAAAAAAAACGCGTAAAATGCGTCATATGACGTACGAAAACCAAGGTTTGTCGACAAACCTCCTTATTTGTGAATTCGGGCCTTAATGAACAAGATCCACGATACGAATTAAGTTTATCGTACTTATATTAGTTTTAGAACATATGTCTTTCAAAATTGAACATTACAGTATAATGATTTGTCTTCTGCTTTCTCCTCTTCTTCTCCACTATCACGGGAAGCACCTTTTTTGTGGGGGGGGGGGGCGGGGCTGTTGTTTTCTGGCATAAAATAAACATCTTCACAGTTTTTAAATATTATTAATAATAATAATAATAGTAAACATTTAAAATGCGCCATGTCTGTCAAAAATGACACTCCTGGCGCAATTGTGCGGAAATTGTATAATTGTGGGCATACAGAAATCATAACAGAAATCACCGACAGATCAAGGGGCATGGGAGACTGCCCGACGTGAAATTAAATTTGACACTAAATAAATTGAAATTAAATAATGTATGCTCCTCAACATGCACCCTGTCTAAAAAGGGCACTTAACAAGGGATTTTTTTTAAAAACTTCATTTCATTTTATATTTTGTAATGTAAAATGGGACCCCCCCCCCCTCTCTCTCTCTCTCTCTCTCTCTCCCACCCTCCCTCTCTCTCTCTCTCTCTCTCTCTCTCTCTCTCTCTCTTGAAGCCCAAGGCACATGTAGAAAATGTATGCAATTAACCATCACCCCCCCCCCCGATCTCTCCGTCTATCAACTATTTCTATCTCTCCCTCTCCCATCATATCAGCAGCACGACTTTCGATAATACAAATATCGGAAGTGCGATCAAAAGATGGCGCACTTTCGCATTGGCAGAGAGATTATTATTAGCGTTCTATTATCTCTCTACATACTGGCATAGCGATAGAGCCTATATACTTCATCAATCTTCAACACAATTATAAGATCTGGAACTCTAAATAGTTACTACACTTAAGTCAGTGTTACATATAGAAATGTCGCATATTTCAATTTAAAACTAAACCGTTTTTGGTTTTGCTAGTTTGGGAGATATGTTATTTTAACATTTTAGAGAATTTGTTGGCGTGGTATGTTTCTAACGGGAGCTTGTCGACGCATGTTGGGGACCAAATTCCATGTACTAGAGCATGTTATATGGTTATCCTCACCTTCATTGAAATAATAACAGAAATAAGAATGAATAGTAATAAAGATGATCTATATGATAATGATTATCATAATACAGACTAATTTGTATAGCTTTGATTAATGAGTCTTATTTTTAAGCAAAGTCTGTGTGAAAAATTGACAGGAATACCCGTGTATAGCTTTTAATAATTCAACCAAGGACTCTTATAATTGCATGCCGATAAAATTACTTTTCAAAAGTTATCTTGACTATCTGTCGTTATTGTATTCGTTTATATTTACTATTATCTGTGTATTTTCTCGATCTCTGTTTCCATTTAAACAATATGCAATAATCACAACTTAGTTTTTATAACAAAGATTTTTAAATTTATTAATAAACCACGTGTAACAATAATACTTTGTTGAATTCGTTGTTCTTTTCCCCCTCACCTTCCTACTCCGTTTAGCTAATTCGAGGTTTTATTCTTGGCCATTTTTCTCAGGCTTTACTGCTATGTATTGTCTATGTCTTTTCTTGCTGCAGCTGCTGCTATCCGTGACTTGTATCCATATGAACCCTGCCTTTTATGGCATCGATAGTTTACGCAAATGTGAATTTGTGCTATTCCATGTTTATGTATAGCGTAAGAATTCCTCTTTTCCATTGACAAATGAGTATTTGTTTGGATGGGTTGTCATGTTTACTTTCTGACTTTTTTTTTCCATTTTCAATTGTTATAAAATACTGTTCTGCTTCACAGTATACACATATGTTAAAAACAATGAACAGAGCGTGATGAGAGCCTTGAATAAACAAGTAGAGCACAAATTATCATGTCTTTGAGGCTATTAACTTGTCGAATATGTTTGATGTGAGTCATCCTTAATTAAATCAGCTTTTAAGCTGGTTTATAAAAGGAGGTTTACTTTATTGACGAAAATAATAACATACTGGTGTTTTCGATATAGCTTTCATTAAACAAGCTAAATGACTGTATTTGTCTAATTTTGTGAAACATGATAATAACAGCTCTGTCTCCAAGTTGCTCATGGGGAAAAGGAGGATTAGCCTCGATGTGTCATCTTTTATTTTCGAGGGTGTTGAACCAGAGCGGATAAGGTGCAAGATGTACTCTGATCCCCCTACTCTTCATCCATACCTGTTTGATGAAGACACGGTGGGTTTCTGTGATCTTAATTTCGAATTTATTTTGTACATCAAGTATGATGTACATGACTATATTATGAAATGTTGTAAGGGGACTCTAATACTTTTTTTCTATTTCATCCGCTCTTGAAGAACAATAGTCCTTCAAGAGCGGATGAAGGATGCGAGAAAGATATGGGGGCGAAATAGATTGAGAGACAGAGAGAGAGAGAGAGAGAGAGAGAGAGAGGTACGTAACATTATATAGAGCGAAGAGAGAGAGAGAGAGAGAGAGAGAGAGAGAGAGAGAGAGAGAGAGAGGGGGGGGGGTGAAACAAGTCCGACGGACACGCTTGGACAGAAAGGTAATAGATAGGTCCATTGAGTCCACTAGAGAAGAGATAGAACTTAGAAGATGTTTATGTGGGCGTATCGACCCACCTATCACAATTGTCTTTCATTGTTTACATCTGGTTTCAATTATGTTGACATATTGGATCAGGAAACATGGATAATCTCGTCCATCGATTATCCATTCTCCAAGCGCTTGATTTTGTCGCATCCAGTTGCCCTCTGGATAATGAAGTCATCTTTCATCCGGTGCGATACGTAATCTACGACTCGACGTAAAAAGATTCACAAAGATTTGCACAGTTAGAATCACTTTATTAAATTGCCAGTCTGACAAAATCTCCAATACATATTTTTTGGTTAAAATATTCTGCAATAAAATACTCTACATTAAAGATAGCGGAGTGCATTTTGTGGAGTATCGTATACATCAAGTTGTGTTCACTGATTTTGGTGCTTAGTTGAGTTCATAAATCTTTAAGGTGATTTTGAATAAGATGAAGAAGTTGAAAAGAAGATAAAATGATAGATAGAAGAAGGGGAGACCGCAGTAACGGAAGAGGAAGACGAAGAGCAGGAAATGGAGGAGGGTGACGTTTAGCTTACCACTGAGGGGCAATGATCACGCTCCCTATACCTCTCTCTCTCTCTCTCTCTCTCTCTCTCTCTCTCTTATCTCTCTTCCTCTCTCTCTCTCTCTCACACCCATCTCTCCCCCATTCACTCTCTCTCTCACTCTCACACACACACACGCGCACAACTCCCTGCATCCCTCCCCTTCACGTTCACCTCCATCTCTCTCTCTCTCTCTCTCTCTCTCTCTCACTCTCACTATCACTTCCATCCCCCTTTCTCTCCCTTCCCCTCTCTCCCTCTTCATTTCATTCTCTGTCGTCAAGAAGTTCGCCCATAATGTTGACTACCTACATCCTCCCGAGTCTGTCGTAGGAAACACTCACAATTTCCGTCTTGAGTTACGTCTTAGCACGTAATAATTATTATCAAAGATTTTGAGATAGGCCCTAATATTTTGAATCTTACGTGTCTTTTGATTATACGGGAACGGGATGGAATAGAGAGGGGGGTAAGAGGACACTTTTTTTTTTTTTTTTGGTCTCGAAATTTGGAAATTTGACATTTTGCTCCGTTGGGGGGGGGGTAAGGTCACCTTTTTTAGGTCGGCCATGGGAATAATTTTTTTTTTTTTTTTTTTTTTTTAATAATTAAAAAAAAAAAAAAAAAAAAAAAAAAAATCCAAAAGGGGGGGGTTTTAGGTTTTTTTTAGGGGGGTTTACACACAAAAAATTTCCAAAGGGGGGGGGGGGTTTAACCCCCCAAACCCCCCCCCCCCCCCCCTGCGTACGCGCCTGATAATGGATATCGTTACTTATCGAGCGCTGATTCTGTAAGAAAACTCATATTGTATAAGTTCATTCCTATATGATTGATTGGTAGGTGGAAAATAATGGAAACACCTCCATATTACTGCTAACCGCTGCCAAAAGATTCACCCCAAAAATATGTTTATATATTGTTCGTTGTCGAATCTACCACAGCGTCTGTGATCCCTGACATATTCTTGACAACTCGACGAAACCCCAAACGAGTCGGGAGATGACGAAAACTACCGCAAGATCGTGTCCCTGAAGAACAGAGAACAGAGAGCCTATTGTAATTCACCGAACCATGACTGGACATAGTTGACGACGCGATACTGAAATCGGCGCACATGCACAGCACACGATCACCGCATGTATACACAAGCAGACGACTGTTTGTGGTGCTCTGCTCAAATTTGTGTCTACAATTTTACAAATCGGTGTAAATGATTGTCGTTTTACAACAAAGTTTCGGCTTTAGTGAAAGAGTCTTGTTAACTTGTATATCGTCAATTTCCGTGTTTGCATTTTCACTGATTACCTAATTACTGAGTTCTCAGCCTCTGACAAAAACGTCTGCTGCGATTTTTGTTGTTGTATATTTAGTCTATATGACTTCCTGGTTGCGTTCAACACCGCCCAACTGGTGTTATGGCTTGAATGGTGTGCATATTAATTGATTGGAATGGTAGCAAAATGTCGCGAATCGATTTATTGAAGAAGAAATTTGAGACAGAGGAGGATCCGGGAGCTGGTTCGTGTTCAAGGAATGGATCCAAGGCAGGAAAAGTACCAATCGGAACTAATGGGACCTTACCAAGTAATTTTCGACCAATGGACTCCAGCAGTGTCCGTCGGTCAGTGAACGATCAGGTG